ATATTTTTTGCTTAGAAAGTATATTGCTAAAATTAATTATTAAAATTTTATTATAAAAATTAATTTTAAAAAATTAACACAGTCAAATTTGCCTGTGTTACAATCTAAGAGATATGTTTGATATAGTACTAAGTACTTAATTGATTACTGTACTTAATTCCTTTTTATATGAATTCAACTTATTGATAAGAATGTATTCTTTCTATTATATATTGAGATAGATTATATTAGAGGGTTTTTGCTACTTTCTGATATACACATGAAGTGTGAATTAAATCATTGTTTTTGTCTTCTAATATGTCTCTCACATCTATTATATATACTGCCTTGTCATTTCTGTTATATAAGTGTAAAAGCGCATTAGCATTATTATGCTTATGACCAGACCAATAGACAATAGTGAAATTATAAGGTTCCAATCACATAATCCATCATGCTCTTTTTTCTTTTAATTCTGAAGATCTTAGCCATTGTAAAGCTAAATGATCTGTAATAAGGACAAAAGACTTCGAGCCTAGATATTGCTAAAAGTATTCTACAGCTCAGATAATTGCAAGACACTCTAACTTAGTAATCAAATAATTTTGTTCTGATTTATTCAAGTTTCAACTAGCATAAGTGATTATATATTCTTTCTTATGATCATCTAATTGTGCAAGTACAGCACCTAGCCTAGAAGTTGATGCATCTGTGTGCACATAGAATAGCTGATCAAAGTTGGGATATTGTAGAATAGAGGCCATAGTTAGGTAGTTTTTTAAGATCTTAAATGCTTTGTCTTGTGTTTTAGTTCATTGATACAGCCCATCTTTGCATAACAATTGGTTTAAAGATTTTGCAATTTTTGAGAATCTTTTTATAAACATTCTGTAATAGGAGTTAAGACCTAGAAATCCTCGAATTTGTCTAAGTGTAATGGGTATAGTGAAGTTTTTAATTTTTTCTATTTTATCATTGTTAGACTTGATCCTATCTTTACTAACAATATGTCCTAAAAACTTAACTTGATTTAAAAAAAAAGAGCATTTTTCTAAATTAAGTTTTAAATTTGCTTTTTCTATAACATTAAAGACTTTTTAAATATGGGTCATATAATCTTCGAACATTTTGAAATATATGGTGATGTCATCAAGATACACCATCAAAAATTTGTTTATAAATGGTTCTAAAACTTGATTTATTAACTGTTGAAATGTGAATAATGCATTATACAACCCAAAAGGCATGACATTGAATTTGTAAGTGCTGAATTTTATAATAAAAGCAGTTTTCTTTTTGTCTTGCTTACTAACAGCCATTTGCCAATATCCACTAGCAAGATCAAGGCTTGAGAACCATTTTGTGCCTTCAAATATAGATAGAACTTCATTAATATTTGGTAAAGGATATATGTTCTTTTCTGTTACTGAATTCAATTTGCGATAATTAATGCAGATTCATTTTTTATTATTCTTTTTAGAAATGATTACTACTAGTGAAGCCCAAGAGCTCTTTGCTTTGCATATAATATTTCTTTTCTGCATTTTTTGAATTTTTTTTTTTAGAAATTCTTGTTCGTTATAGGCCATATTGTATGGGTGTTGTTTAACAGGCTTAGTATCTCCTGTATTTATTTTATGACATACAAGGTTAGTATGTTCTAAGTCAGCTGTTTGTCTATTTTTGCTTATTTATTAACAAAATTATGAGAATTATTAGTTAATAATTCTTCTACTTGCTTTTTATATTCTTTAGCTAACTCAGTATTAATAATATATACATTATCTATTATTATATTGCTAGTTGTTAGAGTTTCAGCTATATAGGCAGCTAGGTTTATTTCTGTTTATAGGTTAAAAAACAAATCTTCATCTTCTTCTGAAGCATATTCATCTGTATAGAACATTTCTTGTTCTTCATAATCATCTTCTAGCTCTTCAATCCAATCCTCTTCATCGGTAAATGCTTTTAATTCTTGAACCATATAACCATTTTTACTGATATTTGTAGCATTAATAGTAATCTGTTTTCCTAGATACCTTACATTTAGCATGTTATCATCAAAGTTCAATTTGGCTCTAGACTTGCTAAACCAGTCAGTACCTAAAAGTAGAGTCTCTTCTTGAGATTCTATTACTTGGAGGTCTATAGGGACAATATCTCTTAATGTTAACTTTACATCACTTACAACCCCTAAGGCTTTAGTATGATTTCTGTTAGCTGTTATTACAACCATTTTAGAAGGTTTATTTATTTCCAATCCTAACTTATTCATTAGTTTTCATGTAATGATACTGATAGCAGCTTCTGAATCTAAAATAGCAATTGTTGGTTGTCCTTTAATTCAGACATGACATCACATAGCAATAGTCTTTTGTTGATTAGGAGTTTGGAAATAGTTTGCTTCCATGGTAGGGGGTTTTTTTCGCCTTAACATCTTAGCCAAATTTCGATATTGATTAGAATATTGTAACAGTTGGCTATAAGTAACCTGTGCTTTTATTGTTAATATATCTTCCGATGTATTATATGGGTTAAGCTTATCCACTACAGAGGGCAAGTGTCTTATTATTTTCTTTGGAATTAACAGAAGTGGATTACTTTCTATATTCATAGAGACTTCTATAGAAATGGAAGATCTAGGTGCTATTTTTCTAAAAACAGGCTTCTTACAAAAGGCTGTCTGTTTTTGCTTTTCTTTTTGGCTTCTTTTATCAGTACTATATGGTTGCATATGAGAAGCATTATTAATATATATCTCTTTATATTCATTGTCATCAATATTTACAAAATTAATATTTCTATTTTGTTTTATATCAGATGTTTAAATAACTGATATCTTCTTTTCCTTGTAGGTAGTTGTTTGGCTAAGCAGTCCTGTGCATAGTGACCTGGCTCCTCACACCTGTAATAGTTAAACATAATTGTTTTTTTCTGTCATAACTTATGAGGGGACACAGGTAGATTATGTATTACTCTTTTAGTCTGTGCTATAAGTGCAAAGATGATGGTAGCATAATTTAATATTATTTGTTACATTTGCTTTGTAAGCTGTTCTATTTTTTTATCATAGTTTGCTGATTTTTCAACCTGCTCCAGACTGTTATCTAGCATGAAATCTGTTTCTTGTTCGTGTATATGAGCAAAATTGAGGACAACCTCAAGGTTGGTGGGATTATTCATTAGGATTAAAGGAAGCATTTTTAGATGCAACCCCTTTTTAAAATAATACAACTTCTGAGCATCTTGAAGATTCCCTCCTGTTTCTACCCATTTAATCAACCTTTTAAACTTACTATAATATGTATTTACAGATTTGTCAAGAAGTTGCTTTAATGCATTGAGGTCTTTTAACTACTTGTTCTGCCACTGTTGATTGCAGAAACATCCTCTAAATGCACTCATGGTAGTGGCCCAATCTGCAGAATAATCATTAGTCGTGTTATGAGCACCGTAATATATCTGTTGCCATTCATCAGCATTCTTATATAAAAAGGCAAGTAAAACTTCTTTTTTTCATTTATCATTTCATCTATTTGCAGCAGCGACTTTTTCAAAACTTTCTAACCAGGCCTGAGAATCTTGTATGCCATTCCCTAGAAAAGGCTCTATTCTTAAGAGGATCGAGTTCTTCTAATTATTCTGGAGAAAATTCAAAATGTCTTGTGTCGTGGCCATATTTCGATCAATAGGAGGGAGAGATGGTGTATGAAATAGTCTTTGAAGCTCTAAATCTGAATTAGGATCTTCTTGTTCTAAAGAGCTGTAGAGGATTTGAAAAGGATCAAGATCAAATCATATAGTTCATTGATAAACTTGACTTAAATATTCTGCTAATGTATTGAACCCAGGATTTTGTAAATATCGACAAGTATAAATTAGAGCTTGAAAATCTTCTTTAAGTGGGTTTTCATGTTGCTTTATATAATTGAAGATGTAAATAGTATACTCAGTGTATTCATATGCAGAGTATGCAATAAAAAACCAAGTTTAAAAGTTATTAAATGATTGTGTAAGGGTCATTATAACAGGATAACATAATCCACAAGAGTAATCTGTAATGACTTTTTAAATTTATTGTAGAATCTGTATATTAGTACCAGGATAGAGTGTATGCTGATAATCATGTTAATTATTTCTTTCTACATACTGGCTATATTCAAGCATATACTATGCTATTCTTCTGTTTACTACAATATTTATTGAAGACCATATCTCACAGTCACCACCAAAATGTTAACTCAGTGTTACTTCTTTTATCTGTATAGTTACTTTCTACATTAGTAAGCAAGAATATTAATAATTAAATGTCTTACAGTGGTCCTTTATACTGGTTAACTAGGTTTAGATCAACGTTTGCACTTAATCTTTACAGGTCTAATGATGATATGTAATTGTCAAAGAGACAGACAATTTAGATGTATATAACGATACAGAAAAATCTATTATAGTAAAACAGTTTGATATTTTGATCAAAACTTTTCTCACGATATCATATAATCATAATCAAGGTAGCATTCACTTTGAAATAATTTAGAAATTTAACATATATAATAACACGGGATATTATTTATTGAGATATAATAATAATAAAAAGGGAATTCGAATAATCTTCTACCAAGTCCCTTTACAAAGGTTAAAGATAAGGCTCTTATATACAAGTTACAGGATGGTAAGCTACACTACGATAAACAATTGCAACTAATACTACTTTGCTTTTATACAATACAATAATAAATTTAATATAGGATAAGCTCATACAAAATATAATAGAATAGAACACCAGAATGCTAGTCACATCTGATCTTCAAGTTAGCCTAATTACCTATGGGCACCTTTACGAATAATCAGTTATATACATTTGATCTGTTAATCATAAGCACAGTATTTGTATTTATTTGAATTTAATAACTGTCCTTATAAGCAAGAGAATTGGGTACATCTTAGGTGCCACACTGTGTCATATCAGCATAACTGGAAGGTCTAGGCACTCGTACAATATTGTATAAGGGAACACAAATCAGTACTGGGTGATATGAACCCAAGATAAGTCCTTAAGCCATATAAATCAAAAGAACCAGGTAGAAAGATGGAAGTTCATTTAGAAGACCTAGTAGAGAGGTAACTCAAACTTTTAACAGTGCTACTGTAAAGACTAGACTTATGAAACGGAGCTAGAATTTGTAAAACTAGGCAAATGTGCTGGTCTTTGAGAAGGGACCAGATGAACCAACCAGGCTGCCAGAATTTTTAGGTTCTAGAGAAAAAGAGCACATGTTGGCAAACATGTAAACCAGAGGTGTATGATTTCAACCTACCTTTCTAGGCTATCTGGAATGGCAGCTTGGTAGAACTTAAATTGAATATCAAAGTAGTAAAGATATGTTGTGAAGTCAGTATCAAAGTTGGGGTGAACTCTACAAGAGCATAGCAGTTTAATAGTACACACTAACTGCAAATATTAGTCTTGACTATAGTGATACCAGGTTAACTGTAAGAATAGGATACAGAAGATTCTAAAAGGTTTAGTATAAGGTCAAAGGTTCCCCATATGAGTAAACCACTTTAAAGACTTAGTGATCATAACATATTTGAACCAGTATCAATCAGAACATCTTGGTAAATATAGGTAGATGAGTGAATAAGGGAACAGAGTAGTTAATAAGGAACCTACAAGCAGGTTCTAGGTATGGCAGCTAGTATAGAACCTTCAAGTGAACTACTTAAATTAGACAATAACTAAAGTTGTACGAGTAACTAGTTGTACACTTTTTCCATAGTTGCCCCCTATGGTTGTAAAATAACCATTAGCTAAATGTACTATCAATAAAATCCTGGGTCACAAGTACTCACCTTAATATTTAAAAAAAAAAATAAATAAATTCCTTTAATAAAAACTTTGATGACAGTAAAGAATCTAAATGTTAACAATATAACTTTTAAGATTTTATCATTTATCAATAATAAATTTGTTAAATAGTTATACATTTATATTTATTAATTTGATTTTTACAAATTTAGTAACAAATTTTATTAAAAAACAATAAATATTATATTGAATAAATTTTTTAATTTTTTAAAAACATTTCAACATGACTAGACTGTAAATGTAACATTTTGTAAGAATATTTGATTATAATCAAATCTAGTTTTAAAAATATTTCTATTTTTATAGTTTTTTTACAATTTTATTACTCTAAAAAGACAAATATGTCTCTTTGCTTATCTAGAATTGAATGCTTAGCTTGACTCTTTTCAAGTTCTATTTAACAATTACAATAATATATAAGAAGCAAAGAATTTTTTATTTATTTTATAATGATAAACTTAAGAGCATCCATCATCATCTAAAATAAATGCAACTATGTAATAACTAATTTCAAAGTTAAGATTTTCTTTATTTGACAATCCAGCCCCATCTTTTTTCAAGATAAAGTTTTGAAACGTTGAAAATTCAATATAAAGTGCATGCTTAATGCCTTACTTTCTTCTTTATAAAAATCATTAGTGTTATTTAAAGCAATTAAGAAGTTATATACAACTTTAGTGATATCCATATGGCTAATTATTGGTCCTCATATTTATTTTTCAAATAAACCATTTTAAGATTATTTCGACATTTTGAACACTTTATCCTTTTTCATTTAGAAACTCTTCAAAGTTTTTCACTATGTGACATTCTAGACAAGTTTTATTATGTGGATTTGACATAGTAAATTTACAAAGTTAAAGCGAAAGTCTAGTTTAATAATTATTATAATCATAACATTATACGTCATTGTCTCATTACAAATACAATGCCGGCAATCAGTATCTGAAATAACATACAGGCCAGTAAGAAATCCGGCTACAATTTATTCCGGGCGACGCTAGGTTGTTCTGTGCTCTACAAAAAAAATGTGTTGCGTATATTCCTGTAATTCGGGTAATTTAGTGAGGCGCCAAAAAGACAAATGCGGTCTACCCAATCAACTTTAAAGTTATTTATTTCTTTTATTAACCAATCAAAGTTTAACCCGTTATGCAACTAAATTATCTGAATCCAAAAAAAAAAAAAGGGTAAGACGAACATGCTTGACTTTTTCACAATTCTGACTAAGGGTGGCATCGTCCTTTGGTCCAAAACTTTTGCCCCTATCATAAATTCTCCAATAGACGCATTGATTAAAGAAGTGCTAATTGAAGAAAGAGCTGACAATAGCAACTTTGTTAAAGATTCTTATAACATAAAATGTTCTTTCTCTAATGAACTGGATCTAATTTTTGTGGTAAATGTCAAATGCAAAAGTGAGTCCTGTTATTAGTCTGTTTAGAATCGGATTCATTTTGCTTTGCAGTGAGATAATGAAGTTTCAAAAGTTTTCGAGTAGAATTCAAAAGCTTAAATACTATTCTCTATTATTGCATAACTTTCTCATTCCTTCTATTTACATTTCATTTCGTTTAATAGGTAGCATATCAGAAAATTCTTCAGCTTGCGTATATAGAAGAACTTTTGGCGACCATAAAAAAATTTTTCTGCGAAAAATTTGCAGAGTTTATTCGAGATACAACCAGACTTCATAAATATGCTTTCGATGATGATTTTGACTCGATTCTAAGTACACTTGAAGAAAAAAACTCCAAGGTTTTATTAATTTAATAAATAAGTGAAATTGATCACAATGACTTTATTGCATAACTTTATTATAGTAACTATATCTTGGAATTTTTTCAGGAACAAAATAAACGATTAAAACCACGCAAATTCGAAGAGACAAAAAAATTTAAAGATACGGTTGAAGGAAACAAAAAACTCAGTAATTATATTATTAAAAAAATTTTCATAATCCTTAAAATTTCTAATTCACCTTAATTAGGTGTTAGTGACATAACGAAGCCACCGATTAACCCAACCATCAGCGAGGAAGAAATTGCACGTAATATTGAGGCAGTTCGTGGTGGAGGCAAGCCTATTCGGGGCCGTGGCAATCGAAACAAAAAATCAGGAAATAATAGATCAGCAAATGGTGATTTTTCAGAGTATGTGTAATCAGATAAACTTTTAGTTGACTTGTCTTTAAGTATTCTTTTAGATTTTTTTTTGTTTGGTTTTGTTTAGTGATAAGAAATCCACAAAGAAAATTATGCGTGTATGGGACAACAAATTGACTAAAGAAGAAATGGAAAGTCTTGACTATAGTAGTCAAAATGAAACTATTGGTATAGCATCAACTATACGCCATAATCTTGTTGATGAAAATAATTTAGGACATCGCTCTCAAGATGGTCATTATGAAGTTGCCGACTTAAAGCAAGATGAGGATGAGGATGAGGATGAAGAAGATGAGGATGAAGATGAAGTGGCAAGTGGAACTGTACATGACAATAATATTAAGGGGTCTAGAATGTTTTCATTTTTCAAAAACATCACCGGTCAAAAGGAGATCACTGAAGAAGATCTCACTCTTGTGTTGGCAAACATGAAGGAACATTTAATTAAAAAGAATGTTGCAGCTGATATCGCTGCACATTTATGTGATTCAGTCTCAAGAACTCTTGTCGGTCAAAAAATTGGAAGTTTCAAATGTACGCCTACCCGATATTATAAAACTATGATATTTATATCAGAAAATTAATGATAATATATTCATTTACACTTTTTCAATAATCTAAAGCGATTCGGTCAATTGTGAAGCAATCTATGGAATCAGCGTTAAAACGTATTTTGACTCCAAAGACATCTGTGGATTTGTTACGTGATATTTCGCAGGCACAATCTGAATCACGTCCCTACACTATTTGCTTTATTGGTGTGAATGGTGTTGGTATGTGTTACATTGCTTTATACACGTCACTCTGGCTATATCGGTACTGGCATCTTGCTATAACGATATTTTTTAAATTTTGAATCTATATATTTAATATGAAAATGTTTCTGGTTAAACCGATATCTGGATATATCTTTATTTTTTTTTGAGGTATCGATATAACCAGAGTGACGTATTATTTTTGAAAGATCAAATATCTCTTATTATTATTATTTTAATACTATAGCTTTTGACTTATAAACTTTAACAGGTAAATCGACAAATCTATCAAAGACTTGTTTCTGGTTATTGCAAAATGGGCTTAAGGTCCTAATTGCAGGCTGTGATACTTTCAGGTCTGGTGCTGTAGAACAATTGAAAGTACACGTTAGAAATTTAAACACTTTAGGGCAAAATTCTGTTGTTGAATTATATGAACGCGGATATGGAAAAGATGCTGCAGGAATCGCCAAAGATTCCATTAATTTCGGTAAGTGCAGTATATAAATATTGGTCTATTTATTTCTGATTTCTATTTTCAATTTTCTTCGTTTGTAGCTAAAGCAAACAGATTTGATGTTGTATTGATTGATACTGCCGGTCGCATGCAGGATAATGAACCGTTAATGCGTGCTCTAGCCAAGGTATTAATAAATTTACCCCAAAGAAATTTATTTATTTAATGTTTTATTCACTATTTGATCCTAAATTTAAGTTAGTAACAGTAAATAATCCGGATAAAATAATATTTGTTGGTGAAGCGCTAGTTGGTAACGAAGCAGTTGATCAACTTACGAAATTCAATCAGGCTTTGAAAGATTTTTCAGGATTACAAAATCCAAGGCATATTGATGGAATTATATTAACTAAATTTGATACAATTGATGATAAGGTTAGTTAATTCTTATTTTGTATGCTCTAATAATTTCAGCAATTGATCTTTAATATATTTTTATAGGTCGGTGCAGCACTATCAATGGCTTATACGACTGGACAACCTATTTTATTTGTCGGTACTGGACAGACATATACGGATTTAAAAACTATGAGAGTCGGTCATATTGTACAAGCGCTTCTTAAAGAGTAGCTTCACCAGCCAAAATAATTTTTATTTCCGGTTTAAGTGATTTAAATAACTATTCTGATTTGATATATAGTTTATAATAGTTTAAAGGTTTTTATTTTAAAAATATATAGTATATTTCAGAAAGAATAAGAAATAGTTAAATAAATTAGGATATTTCAAAGCTAGAAAGCTCATAGAGCAATTCCAAATTTCGAGACCAGACAGTTTTTTGAATTAGATATTATACGTACATATATATTATTTAAAAATTAAAATTTTACCTAAATTTAAATTATTGCTATTTTGTTTTTTTTTGTTAATAAAATAATCATCTGGTTACATACTTTTAAAATGTGTTGATATTGTGAAAGCTATTTTTTATTAAAGTTATACGTACTAAATAAAACCAGTGGTGCAAAAAATTAGGGTTAAATATTTAAAATATAACAAAGTAATAGGTTCAAATTTTAGTTAAAGTAAGATGTTAAACATTTTACTTATTATATAGATTATTGTTATTTTGTTAGTTTTTTAGGTATAGTAATTGTGTTAATACGTATTACTAGTAAAACCATTTATACTATATTTTAAAATAATCATTTTGAACAAAATTAAAGTGTTTTATGCATTTTGTATTTATTTTCTAATATTTTAAAATTTTATATAGGTAATTTTTATCGTATAAATATTAAAAATCAGAACTAATATAAGCTCAAAACAGGGTTTTGGTCTTATAGCTTAATAGTTAAGTTTTTAAACTCTCATAATAAGATTAATAATTTGAGTTATATTAAAAATAAAAAATATTTTATAATTAAAATAAAATTATAATTGTAATCAAAACTTTGTAAAAGTTTAATATATAGGTTAATTGGTTTTTTTCTTGTTATTAAAGGATCTGTTTTTGAAAAATAATTATTATTAAAGTTATATAAATATGAGTGCTTTTAGAAGCTTTTATACATAGAAGATTACAACTAATTACATATATATTTTTAATGTTTAATTTAAGTATTCTGTTTATATATTATTATACAAGTTTATACTAGATATTAGCTATCATAAAATTTAATATATTAATTATATTGTTTTTTGTAGTTTAATTTTTTTTGTTTTTTGGTATTAAGATAAGGTCTTGCTTATATCTTTATTAATGTATATATATTATAATTAAAGCCAATGCTTGCAGTTAGGGTTAACCATTAAACTGCTAACTATACAGTTATTGCTATTTGTACAAAACAAATAAATTGAAAATTATATACAAAAATAAAAGCTCAAACTAATTTATCTGTGATCTAAATCTACTAGAATGGTCAAAGCTTATCTAAATTTAAATATTTAATATATAATTTGATAATATGTTATATTTAATTTATAGAATAGATCAGATATTAATTTTGTAAATTACTTAGCTAATAGAAGGGCATGTGTTAGAATAAGTATATAATTGATCTGAAAGTTTATAAAGAATAAATATGTATAATTTTTTTGAAAACATGTATGTTTAGTTGCTAAGTTGAATGATGTTGAGGTTTTGTTAATTAGTTAGGATTGAGGTTTATTTTGTTGTTTTTTCTAGTTAGATAAATGGATACAATATGTTTTTCATAATTGCTTATATGATTGTTTATTAATATTAAGAAGAATATTGATAATAATTTGAAAAACAGTTTTATATCATTATTAATATTTTTAAAAAAAAAAAAAAAACAGTTTTATATAATATGTCAAAGTTTTGAACTATTGATATAAATGACTTTAAAATAAGTTTTTTAAGAATAAGATTAAAATAAAATGTATTAGATAAAATATATAAAGGATTAAAACCTGAATAATAAAGAATTTTATAAATTAGATTATTTTTTGATAAGTATCAAAATCAAATAATTTGTTAAAAACAATTTAGTTAGTAAAGATTTGAATAATTTGGTTAAATAAGAGTGTATTAGCACAAATATGCTAGTAGAAATAAGAGTTAATTAAATTACAATGAAAACAGTTAGTATTTGAATATTGGTTTAGATAAATAGTATGAAATAATTAGTATATTAGTAACTTATTAAAAAGAATTTTGATATTAAAAAATTTTAGTTAATTAAGTCTAAAATTAGTAATATTGTATAAAGATTTTTGATTATAATTAAAATAAAATAAAATGAATTTTTAGTTAATATCCTGATTAAAGTATAACTACTTATTGTAATAATTTTGTAATACTCATATAGCTAATATATAGGCTTTATATATTTGCTTAATAAAATATCTTATAAGAAGTTTTATATAATATTGCTCTTATTAGAAAATATAATAAAAATTATAAAAATTTGTATAATTAAATAAAAAAAGTGATAATAATAGATATTGTTTGGCAAAAAAGTCTGTTTGCTTATTAAGATTACTTTTTTATTTATTTTTATTTTTTGGTATTAAGATAACTTCTTTGATCTTTTAATTTTATTAACATATTTTAGGAATATAGTTCTGTAAAGAGCTATTATAGAAAGAGCATACAATTAGCTATTTATATAACTTTTTATATTACTTATTTAAAAAGTTTGCCTAATGTTCTTCACCAATTGTTATACTTAATACTCCTACTTGGATGTTCTATTTAAACCCTCTGAACCTGTTTTATATTACTTTATCAAGTCAAACCTGAACTATTAAGATTATTATCTAAATAAGTTTGCACTTTGTAAAAGATAATTTGTAGTTTGTATAATTTAATAATATTTAATAAAATATATTAAATAGATCATAAGTTAAATTTGAATAATTTATTAAGATAAGTTAAGTTGAAGGTTATTAAATTTAGAAATTACAGATTGAAAATTAATAAAAATATTAATTACTAAATTCTGTAAAGTTATTAAAATTGTAATAATAATTAAGAAAAACTTATCTTTGTATAATAAGAGTTAGAATTGTATTTTAGTAAAAAAAGAGTTAATAGTTTGATTATTATTAACTTGAATCTAACTAATATCTATTATGTATTGGTTAGTACCAATGTTAATTACTAAGACATCAGTATAAAGAATAATTGTTAATAAGAATGATTATGATAAGAAATAAATATGAGTTTGTTAATGATTTTATTTGAAATAAAGATTTCAGAAATAATTGAATTAGTAATAAGAATAATAGATAAAAGAAAAATACAAGTTAAATACTTGATAGCAGTAGAGTAAATAAGGTTCAAATAATTTGCATTGAGATTAAGTTGGTGTTTGAAATTAGTTCTGCCAAAAAATTGTATTAAAATAATTGAGGAAACTTTGATAATATAAGTTTGATTAATTTTATAAGAATTAAGATAATATTCTATATATTATTTGTATTTAATAGAAAGTAAAAGATAGAATTTTAAGTATCTTGCACAGCTGTGAAAGCCAAGCATATGGTAATCAACCCTGTAGAAGACAATTTTGAAAGATCATTTATAACATCTTTAATTCCTTATAATTTTTATATATGTTTTAACAAATTCCTTCTTTATTACAATTTACTATTTTTCCTTTATAGTCAAACTATTCAAACTTTAATTCAATATATTAATAAATATAATAACAACAAAACAGTATTCTGTATCACATTTTCTGTTAATTTATCTTATAATGAACTTATATATATCTTCTTAATGATACTTTCTTATCAGATTATATTGTTATTACTCCATATCTTTTTCCTATATTCTATAATCTTTTTCTTAAATCTAATATCTTTAATTCTACTTCTATTTCATTTGATTTATTTTTCAACAACCATTCCTCAACCTCTAATTATAATTCTCTCTCACTATTATCAAACTCAACTTTACATCATCTTAATCTAACTATTGCTATACACAATGTTAGAGGCTTTAATGAATCTACTAAGAGAAAAGCATAACAAGATTACTGTCTCAATTATAATATATTCATTGCAAGCATTACAGAAACAAAGATTTCTAACAAATCCAACCTCTTTTTCTGCAACAATAACTTCTTTACTTACTATTGGTCTAATTCTCCTATCTTTATAGAAGGCATTACTATTATAATTCGCAACCATCTCAAACCTTATGTTCATATAGGCTAATTTTAGACATTATGCAAAAGAGAGAACCCTATACTCTAAAATTTTTTGTAGTGTGTCAGGTTGTTTGACATTATGCTTGGCACTGATTTAGTAATATTACACAAAAATTATATATTACTTTTTGTTCATTCATTGCAAGAAAAAGTATAAAACTTTCTATATACTATAATCTTTCAGTTTTGTGTATATATTGTATTTTAATTTTTAGTTTATATTTATTATATATATATATATATATATATATATATATTTTAGATATTACAAGACAAAAAAAAACATAATATTGAAAAAAATAATCATAATAATTTATTATCAAAGATCTGTCAAGGTTGGAAAATACTAATAGAAAATATAACTTATAGTTGCAGAATAGAACTAAAGTAAAAATGCTAGATTTATATTATATGTATTACAAAAATTAGCAAAGGTTAGAAACTTTTGGTTATTGCTATTAAAGTGGAATTGAGGTTGAAAGAATAAACATAATGTATTTATTTTTTTTATTTTTATTTTTTTGCTATCGTAAATTCACAAAATTAGATTAAAAAGAACAAATATAAAGTGCTGTTATATTGAAATGATAAGCAATACAAATTGCTCACTCAGGTTATTTTCTCAGGCAGTTCAATCATCAAGATCTCTGATGCCTTAAAGACATTTGAAATTATTAATAAAAAATGCTTATTTATTTGAAACTATTGGATATTATTACAATTTTTATCTCTTGGAGTGCACCTTAACTCCCATCTTTTTTTTTGAAGTACACACTTGTAACACATCAATTTTCTTATCAAATATTTTTTTTTGAGTAACTACTGATAACACATATCTTGAACACCATCTTTCTCTGTAGGTATTTCAACCATATTTGGGGTTTGGTTCTTTCTCTTAATAAATAATGTGAATTAAATTATTGAAGTATCAAAATTGGTTAGCAA